CATTTCACAACTCGAGCCAATGCTCTAAAAGTTCAATTGTCACTTATACTTTCATAATTTCACTATACAACTTGAGCCAACGCTCTTCAATATTCATAGGTCTCAATTCTTTCCATAAACTTTATACAACAATTAGAAATCTTCACCAAGGCATGAATAATACAACGAAATCATGAAAATCACAATATAAGACTCACGGTCATGCTTGACACCAACGTATAGATGCTCGTCACCATGCCTATACGTCGTACTCAACAAGAAGCAAATAGCAAATAGGACACAACTCCTAATCCCTCAAGCTAAGGTTAGACCAAACACTTACTTCGATGCCTCGAACACAACTCAAGCTTCAATTATAGCTTTACCCCTTGATTCCACCGCCAATTCGCTCGTATCTAGACACAAATTACTTAATTACATCAATAAACGCTAAATGAATCAACTCCAATGCATGAAAATGAGTTTTCCAAAGTTTTACCCAAAAGTCAAAAATTGCCCCCGGGCCCACATGGTCAAAACCCGAGGTTTGAACCAAAATCCGATTACCCATTCCCCCACGAACCCAAATATATGATTTGTTTTGAAATCGGACCTCAAATCGAGGTCCAAATCCCCAAATTTTGAAAAACCTAGGTTCTACCCAAAACACCCAATTTCCCCCATGAAAATCATTGATTTGAAGTTGAAATAATGTTAAAAGATATTAATGATTGAAGAAAACTAGTTAAAAATGACTTACAGTTGATTTGGAGAAGAAATGTTGTTTGAAAAATCGCTTCTTATGTTTTTGGGGTTTTGAAAAATGAAAAATGACTGAAAATCCCGTCTATTTATACCCCTCTAAGACCCCCTGTGCGGACCGCACAAAATGGACTGCGGCCGCACAGGCCTTCCTGAAGTGCTGCGGTCCAGCGCCCTGTGCAGACCGCACAAAGCCGACTGTGGCCACACAGGTCTCCACCGCACTCCGCACTAGACCGACCGCGGACCGCACTGCAGAGCCCTGTGCGGACTGCACAAAGCTGGCCGCAGCCGCATAGCCTTTACCGCGCACCGCACAAGGTCGACCGCGAACCGCACTGGTGGGGTTCAGAGACCTGCAATTTTTCTGGTTTTAAGCCTAAAACATCCCGAAGCCTACCCGAAACTCACTCAAGCCCTCGGAACTCAAAACCAAGCACACGTACTAACTCAACAACATCATACGAACTTATCCGTGCGATCAAATCGCCAAAATAACCTCAATAACAATGAATCAAACCTCAAAATCAAGAACTTTTCATCAAACTTCATCAAGTATCAAATTTAGTAATTTAGGTCCGAATCACGTCAAACGACATCCGTTTTCAACCAAACTTTACAGAAATGACTTAAACCATATATAAGACCTGTACGGGGCACCAGAACCAAAATACGGGCCCGATACCATCATGTTCTAATCAAATTTCATTTCAAATTTCTTTAAACAATTTCAGAAATCAATTTTCTTTGAAAATTCATTTCTTGGGCTCGGGACCTAGGAATTCGATTTCGGGCATACGCCTAAGTCCCATATTTTCCTACGGACCCTTCGGGACCGTCAAATCACGGGTCCGGATCCGTTTACCTAAAACGTTGACTAAAGTCAAATTTGCTCATTCTATAATCAAAACTTATCGTCTTTTTCACAAATTATCATATTTAAGCTTTTCGGCTACACGCTCAGACTGTGCACGCAAATCGAAGTGACTCTAAATGTGGTTTTCAGCAACCTCAGAACACGGAGTTTCGTTTTAAAACAAGTGATGACCTTTTGGTAGAACTAAATTATCATCAAATGTGAAGTAATAATACACGTTTAACATAACATATGTGTTGTTAAGTGGTGGAACAGTTGATAATTATGATGAATTTATAAATATTCACAAGCAAAGGAATCAAAAGTGCACGTTTCAATTAATTGAAGGTTAATGCGTTTAGTCGAACGTAACACGAGCCAAAATTGGAGTTTACCAACAAATGAGGAACCAAAAGTGATATTAACCCTGAGAAGTATTTTATATTATCGAAAAGAGTAGAAAACTGGAATATCTCACGAGTTTTTTCCTTTTCCATTTTTAAACAAGTACTGGGCTACTGATAAACAAAAAGTCGTGCTACTGATGCTAAAACCTCTCCGAAGGTTGAATATAATTAGAGGCGTAGTCAGAATTTAATGTTTATAAGTTTGAGATTCTAATTCTTTTAAGTTATGAGTTCGATTAAACCTACGGAGGAACATGATGACTCCGCCCCGAATATAATAGGGTAAATAAGTTAATGGAAGAACGAAGAAAGCAAGTAACGCACGTAAGGGATTACTAGTAAGCTCTAGGTTTGAAGTTTCAACTTTTTAGCTGTCTGAAAATATAATCCAAGATTGTAGCCTCTCAAATCCTTCTAAGTTTTATATAACTCATTTCAATTGTAGAACTAGTGGTTATCTTATTCTTAAATTTTGAAATCGTCGCTGGCAGCAGAATTTCTTTTATTTCAGCAGTCCACAACCTCTTAAGAACAACAGCGTAATTTTCACTCATTTTGTTAGGGTTGTTTAGTTTGAAGACAAGTTTTACTGAGATTAGTTATGTTGAGATTAGTTAAATTGAGATTAATAATGGTAAAATTTTGTTTGGTATATGTCGTATTAATCTTGAGATCGTTAGTTTTACTACTTTATTTTGGGATTACTGCTTTACTAGTACTACCTCCATTCCAGTTTACGTGAAAATATTTTTTTTTTCGTTCATTCCAAAAAGAATTATCCCTTTCTAAATTTGGCAACAATTTAACTTAAACTTCTCATTCTATCCTTAATGATATGTTTTTATAACCACACAAATACTCTGAGCCCTTTTTTTAACTTGCTTAGGATCACGAATTCCAAAAGTCTTCAATTTTTCTTAAACTTCATGCCTAGTCAAACAAGTTCACATAAATTATTGGAACAGAGGGAGTATAAGTTATCTCGATACTATTTTAATTATGTGATAACTTATGACAAAATTAGTAACCAAACAAGGATACGGCGTTACTAAATTATCCCATAATTATTTTTACGTATCCATATACCAAACAACCCCTTAAAATTTAACATTTAGTATGTATTTTGAAAAATATTCACAGAATCAGGGTCTTTATAAGGTAAGTAATGTAAATCTTTATAACAAAGCATCAATTGATAACTTGAATTGTAATTAAGTTGCTATAATAAGTTAAACTATATTAACAATATAAGAAATTTGTGAGATGTCTGTTTATATAAGCTAAATCAGGTATGTTGAATTATTCTACATTGACAAGTTTAGTGTGTATATACTGATACTTGGTTAAATAAACAAAGTTCATTTGACTAAAAAAAAAAAGTTTAATAGAATATGGATTTTCTTCAAAGTCAATTTTCTAGGTCTCCACTACAATTTCAAAGTCATTTGAAATTGATACCCTTCCTTTCTTATCTATAGTTAGAACTAGGGCATATATACATAGGTTTGATTTATTTTTTATGAAGGAATTACTTTGACGTTTTATTTTAGATATTCTTAAATATTTTAGTCGGTTAAAAAAGAATGATATAATTTTTTTTTTCTTAGAGATTATTTAACTTTAAATTTTTTATTATTTTATCTTAAATGACAAAGCTGTTATATATCATGGCATGTTTTTTTTTTCAAGGCATGTTTAAGATCAAGTTCTAATGGTATTTTTAATAAGGACAAAAATCTTTGCCTTTTTCTTAAACTTTTTACCTGATTAAAATAAAATGAAAGAGAGGAAATATAACATTATAGCAACTAGGAATAATTGGTTTTCGGTTGTCACCCTTCCGCGTACAAGTTGGGGCATCAAAAGTTACAAATATATTAGGGTATAGGAGTACAACATGGGAAAAATCTAAATGCCCGTTACTGTAAAGTCAACTCTCATATTCCTTTCAACCAATTTATAAATAAAACGGAAGGTAAATAATAATCTGTATTTCCTTATACTCCAAAATCAAAGTTAGATATTGTAGACTAAAATGAAAAGATAAAATTATATGTAGAAAATCTTAAAGTGTCAATTCTGTCTTTTAATCAGCTACTCCCGGAATCTTAAGTTATCAAATTAGGATTAACAACAGTTACTATCTTTTATTTAAAGTTATTTTAATGGTGTAAAAAACTCTGCGAATTGATTTGAATCTCGTGAACTTAAAAATTAGTGGTTTGTGTATCTTGTGATATTGTGTAATTAAGGATAAAATAGAACGTTAGTTATTAAAAACTTAGCAGATAAAAATATAGAAAAGTTATACATAGTTTTAAGTTTTAACAGATAAAAAAGGAAAGTAAAAAAAAATAATATATGAAACAGCATCCATTAGAAGCTCAGCTTTTCAGTCGTTCCAAACAAATTAAATGCTCGCTCTGATTGTGGTAATTTTTTTTCTTTTTTCATGGCAAGTGCATATAACTTAGACAAAGCTGATAGCTTACCTGGAATTTTGATTAAGTCGGCTTAGTACTTAAAGCCCGTTTGGTTGGTCGAAGGAGTGATTTAATCACCACATTCAACTCTTCTGTATAACTATATAAAACAATTTGGTTATACCTTTTGTTTCCCGCAGAAAATAATACCTTATGTGAAATAAGAATATCGAATTAGTAATACATGGATAAAAAAAAAATAACAAAAATGCTCTCGCATTCTTTAAATTTATTTCTTTGTTTACCTTGAAAATATCAAACAAAAAATAATTCACACTATATAATTATTGCATTACTAATTTTTAAGTTATATATTTTGTATTGCTAATTCTTACATTATTAATTTAATTCTTATATTATAATATTTGCATTAATTATTGCATGTAAGACTTGAGTTAGCGTCACCGTAGTAGTAGAGAGAAGACATGAAGTTTTTTTTTTGGCCATGGCGGCGTTTGCAGAGCTGTAATATATATAATTCTACCTTTATTTTAATGTTTCCCACACAAGCCACAACATAGAAACATAAGGAAAGTAAAGGCCCCTCCCTCATTTCCTCTTCGATTAATCTCTATCCTCAAAAATCTTCAATACTTTGTCTCTCCAAGAAATTAAAAAGAGCTGCACCTTTTTAATTATCTTCACAAAAGTTGCAGCTACTAAATACTCCTCCCTTTTATTTTCCAGCCTCTAAATTTATTCATCACTTTCACACGCTCATATGTAGTAGTACAGAAAAGAAGCGTACTTCTTCATTTCTAATTATGAAGAAAATCCCACAGAAATCTAAGGGGTACAAACATCATTATTGGGTTATAATCAAGCTGCCAGTGATCGTGCATTTCTGCTATGGATTGTCATGAGTCACAATTGAACTACGAGGAAAAAGGATTAAAGTTGGAAAAATGGCTAATTTCTTTTCACTAGACGGAAGAGGAAGTAGCAGCCAAGATCAACAGCAAGAAATTAGCAGCAGTCACCACCGTATCAATAACCGGCCAGTACCCACGGAAATCAGCTCAGAGAGTTGGTTCTTGTACAGAAATGATCATAATCAAGAAATGCCCACTTACAAAGGCTTCGAGTTATGGCAAAATACAACTCCTCAGCATCAACCTGAACAACAACAACAGTTTCGTCACCCAGTTTATCCTTTGCAAGATCTTTATTCCACTGCTGTTGGATTAGGTGTTGGGCCCAGCCAAAGTGGCTTTGACATATTTGGAGGTTAGACTGTCACATGCGAATTCAAAATTTAAACTTGACGGGATATTCAATTTTTAAAGTAACCATACTTCAAAATTATGTTTCAAATGTAATATTCTTTGAAATTATATTATTCATATGTATATTTATATTCCATGTAGAAGAGATCTATAATTTAAATTTGAGGGGCTCAATATTTTAGCTATCATTACAGAATCATTGCACTTTACCAAATAAGGGGTAAAAAATTAGGGTTTTTCAATTGTGAAATTTTAGTGATATTTCTACATTTGTATCTTGCTCCAATGGCGAAGCTACTTTTCTAGAAAATTACACAATATAGATGGATTCATTTTTTTTTGAATTATATGTATATTATATGATAATTTCCCTTGAATTCTCTTTGTATTTACTTTTTACATTTTAATACTCCTTAATGAAATTTTTTGCCTGACTTGCTCTACCTAAAAAATAAGTATTAGGTTAAGTCGAATCTGGTAGGATATACAGCATCACTTTATGTCGAAAATATTAGATTCAGTTGAATCCATTTCTCAAATTAAGGCCGCATCCGTTTTTCGCAGGCGATCAAGAGGCATCAAGATCAGGGTTTGTGATGATGAGGAGTGGAGGAGCTGGAATTAGCTGCCAAGATTGTGGGAACCAAGCTAAGAAAGATTGTCAACACATGAGATGTAGGACTTGCTGCAAGAGTAGAGGGTTTCAGTGCCAAACTCATGTCAAAAGCACTTGGGTTCCAGCCGCTAAACGTAGAGAAAGGCAACAACAACTTTCTGCTCTACAGCAGCAGCAAAAGGAACGACATGATCAGTTACACTTAGATCATAATAATAATAAACCTGAAAGGCAAAGAGAGGATCCAAGTGCTTCCTCTCTTGTTTGTACTCGTTTACCTTCAAATACTAGTGGTAAAGTTCCTATTCCCTCTTTTTAAACTTTATATTTCTAAATTTTGTTAATGAGATAGATTTATATCACAGAAATATTTATAACATATTCTAGTCTTTTCTTTTTCTTTATAAATTTTGTGTCCTGTCATACAAGTTCATGAATTCGAATTGAGGGAGTATCTTTCTTCCTTTGTTTGTACACAGAAAAAACATAGAATCTCGAGATTCATCATGTAAAGGAGCTAAGGTTGTTTGCCTTAGAAGAATTCTACAAAAGGTAGGTCTAGAAAGAGAAGCCCATAACCATAGCATTTGATGAAAGTCAAGGGAGACGCTACTATTTTAGCAGTANGGGTTTCCCGACAAAAGATTGACAAAGAATACGCTATTATATATCACCCTTCTGATCTCCCCATTTCTCTCTCGTTGCATTGGTATCTATGTATGCACACTCTCTTTTCTCTAGACCTACATAAATTTATCTCGAGCCCTCCAATTTATGTATGATAATTCACGGTATCCATTGTTGATTAATATTAGACGTAATTATTTACACTGATACTAGTACGTTACATTCAGTGGTAGAGCTAGCTTGAAGAGAGGGGATTGAATTATTGAAATCCCTTCATTAAAAATCATACCGTGTAAATGGCCAAAAAATTATTATTTTGTTTTTTATATATATATATATATATATATATATATATGTGAATTCTCTTGACATATGAAAAATTGTTGGTGCAGTGACAAAGAGGGCTTAAAAACTATTTTTGATCACAAGTTCAAATCTTAGGTGTGATACTTTTAAATCCCCTATATGAATTGTACATGCAGGTTGTACTATTTTTGTCAAGTTACTATTAATTAATGCTGGCCATAAAAATTTACTTGTGATGATTGTTTCAATGATCTAATTTTGTAAATATTTCTTTTTTACATGGAACATAATCTCTTGCTTATTTAAATGTAGCATCTTTGATGTTTATAGGGTTAGAAGTGGGAAAATTTCCAGCAAAAGTAAGTTCAGCTGCGGTATTTCAGTGCATCCAAATGAGCTCAATTGAGGACGCTGAGGATCAGTTAGCATATCAGGCCGCTGTGAATATTGGGGGCCACGTGTTCAAAGGAATTCTATGTGATCAAGGTCCTGAAAGTGAGTATAATAATAATATGGCTGCAGCCGGTGATACTTCTTCTGGTGGTGGAAGTGGTAGCGCTGGAGTTCAACACCACCATAACTCCGCTGCCACCGCCATCATCGCAAGCGGCGGTGCTGCAGCGGCAGCGGAAGCCTCAAATTTTCTTGACCCTTCTTTATTTCCAGCTCCCCTTAGTACTTTCATGTCAGCTGGTACGCA